AGTTGAACATCCAATTGATTCGATATAAATTATCCAAATAATGTAATGGGATGAGAGGAAATAGCTCAAGAGAGATCTTTTGATCCTTCCATTTGGCATCGTAGGATCACTAAAGTCGAGTAGTGAGTTGTCTGACTGATCCGCAATATTTTTTTCAAGACATTTTTAGAGCAAGTCTTGAAGAGGGGCAAACCAAAAATGCTAGAGTGCAAATAAAAAATATAGATTCATAGGGCTTATGCCCTATAACTTGATGTGTAATCCTCAAGCGTAAAAACGTAAATCCAAGATGTAAAAATGTAAGTCCTAAATATAAAAGTGTATGCCTCGAGTGTTACATTTATTTTTTATTGTTTTAAATGTATATTTTTCTACATATCATGTTCTTTTATTATTGATGGAATGTGGATATCTTGGATAAAGTAGGAGTGTCCTCCATGGTGGACAAGATGGGGGGGAGGGGGGGGGGTAACTGGAGGTGGTTTAGATATGTGAAGAGGCAATGCGCAGAGGCCCAGTGAGGAGGTTTGAGAGATTGTATATGGGATTAGGGAGAGGTAGAGGTAAGCCACATAAGTATTAAAAAGAGATGATTAGACATGATATGGCACATCTTCAGCTTAACCAAGGCATGACCTTAGACATGAATGTTTAGAGGTTGCGGATAAGAGTAGGCGGTTAGTAGGTAAATAGGGATTGTCGCATTACTAGCCTTTTCACATAGTCTTTGGCTTTTTATACATGTTATCACCTGGTATTATTATAGTTCTTACTTTTGATATCTCTCCTCGTCAGTAGTTTACTGCGTTTCAATTATCACACTAGTGTTGATTCATCGTGTTAGTTATTATATTTTCTACATTATTTCCATCTACTCTGTACTTAGGTTTACTACACTCGAGCCATTGATATTTCAGAAACAGTCTCTCTACCTCTAAGGTCTGCGTACATCCTACCTTCTCAAGCCCCACATGTGGGGTTCCATTGGATATGTGATTGTTGTCATCTTGCATGTTATAGTGATTTTTCCTTTAAAAAAATAAATGAAGGAAACAACTCTAGAGAATGATACTTACATAAATAATTTTTTTAGATGATTATGCCTAAAATTGATAGGATAGAGATTTCATAATATTATGCTCTTGATGAAATTTTATACATATATTTCTTGGGAAATTTTTCAAAATATCAATATTTTAACATTTAATAGGACTCATTGTCAACACTTTCAAAATTCAGTAAAAATGTCAAAATTGTAGTTTATTATGTATCTTATTTAAGTTTTTATTATTTGTTTTAATTTAAAGAATACAATTGTTAAATAACATAAAGGAGATATTTAGGGGTGAGAAAAATTTTAAAAAGGAACAATTGCTTAAAAGTCTCATCAGTTACAAAAAATTTTAAAAAAATTACAGAGAACTCATCCCACTTGTTCATCAAATTTCTAGTATCGATTTTTAAATTTTCATTGATAATACTCAATTTATGTTGAAATGAATTCAATTAAATCGCGTTTTTTTTTATATACAATCACGGCTTCAATGGATCAGATTTTAGAGCCAAAACCGACTTTCGTAATGATCTAACTCCTCTAAAATTATGTGAAATTTCATATTCAACCACATTTGACACTGTCAATACAAAAGCTACTTAGGGATAAAGAAAGATCCAAGAAAAATTATGCAATTAAGGCATATTAAAACTCAGAAATCATAAAAGCCTAGTGAAATCACACAAACTCAACAAGAAGTATATAATCACTAAGCACGAACATGTATTTCGAAATTCATGAGATAATAATAACCAATCAAATCTTTTTAGACTAAGATCTTACTAACTAGAGAATATATACACTTACATAATAATAATTAGAAATAAATCACAAAACATAGTATAAAAATGTGTCACAATCAAAGCTTGCAGATTGTGCTCCTAATAACGTGCATATTTTTTTTTGGATGACGAGACAACGTTTTACTAATGCACAAGTGAATACAGATTTAAATTTGGGTTTTGTGAACAAAGAATAAAAAAAAAGAAATATATCAGACGAAGAAGAAGAAGAAAAAAAGAGAAAATCGGAGAAGAAGGTTGCAAAGAAAGAGAGAATGGAGAAGAAGGTTACAAAATTGTATTCATATTAATTTTGTTTGTCAATTGTTTTTCTTTTACTCAACATTTATATTTTTATTAAGAACATTGTATTTTTTTTTTAGTTTGTAGTCATTCTAGTAGGTATGTCAAATTGATTTGTATTTCTTAACTTTCACAATCAATTTGTATTTTTTTTAGAATACTGTATCATTCCTCAACAGATTGTATTATTTTCATTATGTATCCTATTGTTTTTCTAGAATCTTGTATCTTTCTTTAATCGTATTAATATGTAATGATTAGATTATATTGTGATACAATGAGTAATATTTTTGTAATACGAATAAAAGAAATATATATTTGGCAGTTATTTAATACAATTTTGATCACTGGGATACAATTTTTAGTTTTCACTATGAAAGTAAAATACCAATTTTAATTTGAATGGTAAAGTGAACACATAAAATACAAAAGTTGTTGATATACAATTATGATGAAAACATTATAAAAAAGAAATACAGACTTATTGTCATTGAAATTGAGATTGAAATACGAAATGAGCACAATAAATACTCACATCAATTGAAATACAAAATTGACTTTGTTGGTATGTCATTATGATGAACACAAAAAAAAAACAAACTTTTCTGAATACAATGTGAGAGTTAAATACAAAATGATCACAGTAAAATACGTACCACAATATGATATTCAATTTTAATTTGAATGGTAAAGTAAGCATATAAAATATAAAAGTTGTTGGTATACAATTATGATGAAAACATAATAAAAAAGAAATACAGACTTGTTGTCATTGAAAATTGAGATTGAAATACAAAATGAGGACAATAAATACTCACTGCAATTGAAATACAAATGTGACTTTGTTGGTATACCATTATGATGAATACAAAATTTAAAAAAAGTAGAATTTGTTTGTATATAAATTGATATTGAAATACAAAATTGTCGTCATTTTTGTTCTAAGTAGAAAATTGTTGACTAAGTTGGATACCTCTAGTAATTCTCTTAGATTCTGCCATTGGAGATTGATTTAGAGTTTATCAAACTCTAAACGTGATTTCAACTACATACAACAATTTTGAACGATTTAAACAAAAATAAAATATAAAACAAATCTTTAAAAACGGATAAGGTTGCATACCTTAATAAAAGGGATTGTGTGAATATCTTTATAAAATATATTTTTCAATTTCTGGAAAAATAAAACAAAAAAGAAGGAAGAGAGAGAGGCGGGTTTTGAAATGGAGAAGAATTGGAAGATCAAAAAAAAAAAAATATGAGAGAGAAAATATTCCCTTTATTTTAAACATATGATAGAGGATTAATTGAAAAATGTGTAATTAAGGTGAGATATAATAGGAAGTAAATTAGGATACACAATCTTTCAAAAATAATGATATTTTGACATTTTTACTAATATTTATAAAGTTATGGAGATTTTTACTAATTAAGTTAGGTTTTTTGACTAGTTTGCTAATTTTCCCATATTTCTTTGTCATTTTGCGTACACTTTTTACTTTTTTCCTTCTTTGAAATCAATAATTAGTGCAAATATTGAGATCATGATGTAATGGTTGATGATTTCATTATTAAAGTTGTCTCAAATATTATCATTTTTTGTGTTTTTACCTTTCTCAAATAATAGTTAATATGACAATATTTTCTATATTATTGGTAATTCATTTGAAGTTATTTGCATAGTTATTAAAACTTTTTCGTTTGTTTATCTTTTAGTAATAAAATTAAAAATACATGAGACTACATTCTATAGATTCATGAAATTTATACACTATGTTTCAAAGCTTACGTCTCGCCTCGCCTTGCATCACAACCTTTTAAAACCTTAGTCTGTAGTACCTATCGCCTTTCTCTTAGTTTAAATATTGTCTTCTTTCATAAAATTCATAGAGGTGGTACTTCTACATTTATATTATAAGTTATCTTTGAAATATTTCTTATGCTTCTTTATTTTTCCACTTAAATCATTAAAATGAAGTTGAACGACTTTAGGGTTTGTCTATTGGGGGCAGGTCCCCATCACATTGTTGATTTTTCGAGCATGACATACTAAGATTTACATCAAAATTTCTTTAAAATTATATGAGATTTTTCACTAAAATTTCAACTTTTGATGGTGATTTTCATAGATCAATTACCAAAAATGATATCAAGGTACATGAAGTAGTCTTAAAAAAAATTCAATTTGATTTACCCAAAATGTCAATTTTGTCACCATCTGCCGCCTCATACATTACGTTTGAATCATTAAGTACTAATGCAACAGGCTACAAATAATGCCACCATGGATACAAAATATGTTCTCTAAGATAGTGAAAATTACTAACCGCAATTAAAATATTTTCTAAGGTCAAAATTAGTGAAGAGTTTTTTAGACGGAGGAAAAAATATGAGATATATAAAAAAAGGGGGAGGGGGGGGAGATTTTATTCCAATATGGAGTTCATCACCAATTAAGTAAGTTTGAAATGAGTAAAAAACATAAAGATATAAAAGTCAGTTCATGAAATATTTTTAATGAGATAGATACATATAAGAAGCCAAAAACAATGTTGAGACTATCATGTTATTTTCAACCCTTCCCATCTTCCATTCCTTTTTTCTCCTTTTTCACATTCCACTCTTACATTATTTCGGAGGTGCAATAGACTAATGAAATTTCAGGACACTTCTAGGGTGAAAAATTCTCCATAACATGTCTGAACAATGCAATAGATGTTTCATTCTTGAATTTCTATTGTTATTGTTGATCTCTTGAATAAGCTTTTGTTTCCTATTGCAAGAGATGGTTATTGTTGATCTCGTGAATAAGCTTTTGATTTCCTATTGCAAGAGATCTGCGATTATGCACCATTTGGTGTTTATTGGAAATCATTAAAATGAAATTCATCAAGAGGAGGTACTTTATTGGGGCCAATAGAAAGATTAGGCAATGAAAAATCAGGCATGTATAGAGTATACGGGAGTGAATTTGATATTTGTGTAGGATTAAAGAGAAATGAATTACAGGATAGAAGGTTCTGTAAATTAGGTGGGAATCTCAAGTCATAGAGGGGTGAAACAACTCCACATCTCAGGTCACTAAGTTGATTTTCAAGAAAATTTGGTCTTGTATATCCAAAGGGCTTTCCTTCAAATTGGAAGTTCAAATCTTGTACTTGTGTTTCAAGATTGGAAACTTTACGGCTTTTTGAAAATGTCAATATAGAAGATTTCCCATTTGAAATTAAAGGTGAAGTTTGGTTTCCAACAGTAGCAGTTGTCGCAACACCATTTGTCTTGTTTATTGAAGGCACTTCATGATTATGTTTTCCTTCATATGTTGTGATGACTGATTTAATGTTTTCGGGTGCCCTTTCTATCTGTGTTCTTACTGGACAACCTGCACTTGTACATTTGTAATAGCTCCTATACAACATAATATTAAAAATAAATTAAGTTATATATTGATAATATAACAAAACTAAGCATAATTATGTATGTACAAAAATACATACCTAGGATTTGGATTTCCCTTCACAACTTTTTGGCCATATTTTCTCCAGCGATAACCATCATCAAGAATATCAATCTCACTCTCTATTTGGACTATCACTCTTGGTTCTCTTGTTGTTCTCGACGATAAATTCATTTCAGTTGGGTAATAGTCTCTTCTCCTAAAACAAAGCATCAATTTCCCAACAAACTAAAAAATTAACATAAATTAAAAATATAAGTGTATTAAAATTTAATTAGAAAATTGTATAGTAATCGTACAATAATCTCTTTTCCTAAAACAAAGCATCAATTTCACAACAAACTAAAAAGTTAACATAAATTAAAAATATAAATAGATCAAAATTTAATTTGAAAATTGTATAGTAACCATACTATAGACCTCTTCAAAAGAACTTGATCTACTAGAGTTTCTATCACCAAAGTGTAGATATAAAAACTTACAAGTGGTTTTTACACGGTGTATAAAAATTTAAACACTTGATATTATAATAAAATAAGGGATAGGCAAGAATTTGTTCTTGAACTCTAGAGAACAAGCGGAAAGAGGTTCATCAGAGCCATAGGGAAAGCTTATAGAGGGGGGTCTTACTACGACAAGTGAAGCCAGGGTTCCCTTTGTTCGGTGCGAGGGTTTCGCTCGTTATAGGACTTGACCAAACATCTCACGACACGAGCTGACGACAGCCATGCATCTTTCTGATGGTGAAGGAAGAAATTATGAATAGAATTGAGATAATGGAAACGAAGCATGCGGCAAGGCCTCCCAATCGGGAATCTTCGTTCCTCTTTTATGATGATGAATGGAACTGTTATCCCGCGTAAGCCTTTGGAAGCAAACAATCGTAAAAAGGAAAAATAGAGAAGTAGAGCTAAGGTAAAAAACATGGACAATCCTGTGTATTCGATCTAGTGCTCTCACTTGCCCCCAAGGGGCCAGAAGAAGATACCCAATGTTCAGGGTAGAAAGCCAGGGTTTGGTACTTTGACGAGCTGGCCGCCGAGAGAGCACTGAGACGAAGAACCAAGCTAGGAATTTCCCTGCCCGTGTCTACTTCTTGAAAAACCTAAAGGGTCAAGGAGAGGTCTTAGGAATTCCATCCCTAACGAGGTAGAAGTGGAACAAGCGCTCTTAGCCTTTTGCTTGAGAGTAGGACTTGTCTTGTCTTTGACTTCAACCCGCTGCTTGACTACTCGACTTGGCTATTGAAGAAGCTCTTTGCCTTTAGGCACCAGGAGTAGGCAAAAAAAGACGGGCTTTCCTCCAACTGGCACGACTATACATTGACATTTCCTAAATGATAACTATCGATAAAATAGGATCAGCAATACCTTAAATAAGATAAATTATACTACATCATGTTAAAATACATTAACTTTTTATAATGTTATTTGTGTATATAAGTTAAATACATTGTCAAATGAAGAAAAGGATATAAGGACAATGATAGATAAAAAATAAAAAGTACCTCCTTTTGTGCTCAAATTCATTATCATCAATATCATCACCTAGGGAAATGATCCCTTCCGTGGCTCTAACTTCATCTTCATCTTCATCATCACAACTCACAAGTGTAGAAGAAGGTTCATGAATAGTTTCGGGTATTTCAAACACATTCATATTGATATTTGAATTATTTAATATTAATGAATCAGAAACCTTTGTCAAAATAGATGGTGAATATGTTCTTTTCAAACTTGAAAGAGCTCTAACATTCTTATTGCCTTCAAATTGCATATTCCTATAAATATTTGAGCCACCATTTCCTTCATTCTTTTTTGATATCCCTGTTAAATCACAGGACTTTGAACTTATCGTTGCACGTCGAATAGGTTGAGATTTCTGATGATTATGTTCCCCTTTATAGATAATTTCGGTAATTTGTCCATTTAGAGAACGTTCTACTTTTTTCTTCACAAAGCAATTTTGTTGAGTACATTTATAGTAGCTTCTAGGAAATTCACTACCTTTGACAGATTTCTGACCATATTTTCTCCAAGTATATCCATCATCTGGTCCGATTGAATTAGTAATATTTGGATTCATTGCACCTCTTAAAGGGCAATTTTCTAGATTAGTAGTATTTGTTAAGCTAATACCACTCATGTTTTGTTGATTATTTATATCAGGAGGAGGTGATGTATCTGAACTGCACTTCTTTAAGGTAGTTACTTTCGGAAATTCATGATATCTCGATATAATCTGCATTTAAAAAAAAATGTTTGAGCAATCTACGGATTATATATTACTTTTTACATTATTAACATAAATATGTCTGCACTACAACAAACTATTCGTTATATTTTTTAAATACCTAATTTTATTATTTTTCACTTTAGTTTATGAGATACTATTTACTTATTAGTTTGTTTCAAGAAAAATGACAAATTTCAATAAATAATCGAAAATGATTTAACTTTAGAATTCACATTTTTTATCCTTAATGACATTCTTTAAAAGTTACAAAAATTCTATAACTTATTTAGCATCACAAATTTAAAAAGTCTTTCGTTCTTTTTTAAATTTGTATATACACTTAGGTGCAAAATTAGTGTCATATTTCCCTTTTGTCTTACTTATTATTTATGGAATATTATATTTAGAAGCCAGGAAGCTTTTAAGTTCAAAACAAATATCTCATAGTGATATAAATATTTATATTAGTAAGCGTTAATTCAAGTTAAAGAAAGATATGTGTTTGTAATACATTACTTTGGATCTTATCATAAGAAACCTTATTTACCTATATGAGGATTTAATTAGTTTAATTCAAGTAATAAAATATTTCTATGGATAAAAGAAGACAATCTTTATTTCTTTTATATTTTAATAAATATTTGTACTCTTTTTTTTTCTAGAAACATCAATATTTTTTAATTAAGTAAAAACAACATCATAAATTCAATATCTGAAAATGGTGAAAATCATTTACACACCTTAACTTTGTTTTAAAAATTAAGCCTCCCTTTCAACTTTGAACAGTAAATCCCCCCCCCCCCCCCTCTTCTCTTCTTCCT